TATCTTGCTCTTCTTTTGGTTTTACTATTAGGTCTATCATTGTCTTACCGTTTTTCTTTTTTTCTTTTCTTTTTTTTTTTTCTGAGATGGAATTTCACTCTTGTTGCCCTGGCTGGAGTGCAATGGTGGGATCTCCGCTCACCGCAACCCCCTCCTCCTGGTTTCAAGCTGCTTCAGCCTCCCGAGTTGCTGGGACTACAGGCATGCACCGCCACGCCTAGCCAATTATTGTAAGAGATGCGGTTTCACCATGTTCACCAAGGATGGTCTTGATCTCTTGACCTCGTGATCTGCCCACTTTGGCTTCCCAAAGTGCTAGGATTACAGGCGTGAGCCCCTGCACCTGGCCATTTTTCATGAAATAGCTCCTTCAGTATTTTCTTGTAATTTCTCTCCTCCACTCCCTCATTAACCCCCCAAATAAAATAATGATTTGCAGGCCAGGCTGGGACAAATCAGAACCACATGAGACACCACTTCACACCCATTAGGAAGGCTATTATGAAGAAAATGGTGAGGGTTGGGGTCGAATAACAAGTGTTGGCAAGAATGGATAAATTGGAAATTTAGGCTGGGCGTGGTGGCTCACAACTGTAATCCCAGCACTTTGGGAGGTTGAGGCGAGCGGATCACAAGGTCAGGAGTACAAGACCAGTCTGGCCAATATTGTGAAACCCTGTCTCTAAAAAAAAAAAAAATTTAAAAATTAGAACTCTTTTGCATTGCTGGTGGGAATGCAAAAATGGTGCAGACCCTATAGAAAATAGTTTGGTGCTTCCTCAAAAAGTTAATCACCGAATTACCATATGATGCAGCAATTCTACTCTTAGGTATATACTCAAAAGAACTAAAAGCAGTACTCAGATAGACACTAGTGTATACCAATGTTCTAGCAAGATTATTCACATACCCAAAAGGTAGAAGCAACCTAAATGTCCATCAACAGACGAAGGGATAAACAATTTGCAGTATATACATACAATAGAATAGTATTCAGCTTTAAAAAGTGACCAGAAGGCCGGCGTGGTGGCTCACGCCTATAATCCCAGCACTTTGGAAGGCCGAGGCGGGTGGATCACGAGGTCAAGAGATCGAGACCATCCTGGTCAACATGGTGAAACCCCATCTCTACTAAAAATACAAAAATTATCTGGGCATGGTGGTGCATGCCTATAGTCCCAGCTACTCGGGAGGCTAAGGCAGGATAATTGCTTGAACCCAGGAGGCGGAGGTTGCAGTGAGCCGAGATCACGTCATTGCACTCCAGCCTGGGTAACAAGAGCGAAACTCCGTCTCAAAAAAAGAAAAGAAAAAAAAAAACTGGCCAGGGCTGGTAGCTCACGCCTGTAATCCCAGCACTTTGTGAGGCCAAGGTGGGTGGATCACTTGAGGTCAGGAGTTCGAGAGCAGCTTGGCCAACTCTGTCACTACTGAAAATACAAAAAATTAGCCAGGTGTGGTGGCTGGCGCCTGTAATCCCAGCTACTCGGAAGGCTGAGGCAGGAGGATTTCTTGAACCGGGGAGGCAGAGGTTGCAGTGAGTCGATATCACACCACTGCACTCCAGCCTGGGAGATAGAGTGAGACTGCATCTCAAAAATAAAAAGAAAAAGAAAAGAAAAGAAAAGAAAAGAAAAGAAAAGAAAAGAAAAGAAGAGGCCTGGCGCGGTGGCTCAAGCCTGTAATCCCAGCACTTTGGGAGGCCAAGGTGGGTGGATCACGAGGTCAAGAGATCGAGACCATCCTGGTCAACATGGTGAAACCCCGTCTCTACTAAAAAAAAGAAAAATTAGCTGGGCACGGTGGTGCATGCCTGTAATCCCAGCTACTCAGGAGGCTGAGGCAGGAGAATTGCCTGAACCCAGGAGGCGGAGGTTTTGGTGAGCCAAGATCGTACCGTTGCACTCCAGCCTGGGTAACAAGAGCGAAATTAAAAAAAAAAAAAGAAAAAGAAAACAAAAAGAAAAGAAAAGGAATGTATTTCTTAGTTACAAAGTCTGAGGTTGAGAGGCTACATCTGGTGAGGGTTTCCTTGCTGGTAGGGACTCTGTACAGTCCTGAGGTGGCACAGGGCATCACATGGTGAAAGGGCTGAACATCCTTGCTCAGGTCTCTTTTTTTCTTACAAAGGCTAGTCCCATTCCCATGATGGCCCATTAATTCACGTATGGATCAATACATTCATGAGGGATCTGCCAATCACCTCTTAAATGCTACATCTCTCAATACTGCCACATTGGGGATTAAATTTTTTTTGTTTTGAAATGGAGTTTTTCTCTTGTTGCCCAGGTTGGAGTGCAATGGCACCATCTCAGCTCACTGCAACCTCCACCTCCCAGGTTCAAGCAATTTTCCTGCCTCAGCCTCTGAGTAGCTGGGATTACAGACATAGGCCGCCATGCCCAGCTAATTTTGTATTTTTAGTAGAGACAGGGTGTCTCCATGTTGATCAGGCTAGTCTCGAACTCCTGACTGTGGTGATCTGCCTGCCTCAGCCTCCCAAAGTGCTGGGATTACAGGCGTGAGCCACTGTGACCAGCCTGGGGATTAAATTTAAACATGAGTTTTGGAGGGAACAAATAATCAAACCATAGTACCCTCCAATCCATTTTCTACACAGCAGCCAGAGTCTTTCCAATATACAATCTAACCACATCTTTCCCTCATATGTCTTCAAGGGCTCCATTTAGTTATTCAGGTTAAGTTCAAATGCCTTCAATATGGCATTTAAGACTCTTCATGATCTGGTTTTGTTTTAACATTCCAGTGTGCTAATTTCTTACCGCTCATTACCAGGGCTGTGCTTCAGTCCTATTAAACCTGTTGTTTGCTAAACCCCAATGTTCATCTCTCTTCCTGATCATCATGGGAGGACGGAAATTTAAGAGATAAAGATGGCAGCCAACATGAATGTGGTCCATTCTTTTTTTGGTTTCCCTAAACTGTCAAGGTGACATGGCCCAAAGCTTTGCCTGGCCCTCTCCCTTTATTTTTTCGTTTCTTCCTGGCCTCAAGGCATCCTGGGATGGGCTCCTTTGGTTACTGGATTAAACTGGTTGTCTGTCCCTTTTCTTCGAGGGCTGGTAGTCAAGGCATTTGCTCAAATTGGGGCTGTAGAAGCTGAAACTGGGGTTTGGGCTTTGGTACAGAAATAAATCCAATGTTGCTTAAGGCCGCTGAGACCTACCAGAGGAAAGATGCCTCCATACAGTAGTTGACAGGTGTTCTACAGTGGGCATTGGGGCCCAAGCTCCAGCTAATAATATATTACCTACTTCCTCTGTCACCAAAAAGTCAAGGATGGGATTCAGAAAATCTTAGGTCCCTCGGCCAAATATAATCTTGATGTTTTCCTAGTCCAATTTTCCCCAACCTGCCCCACTTGGTGAACGCGCCTACTCATCCGTAAGTTTTTATTTATTATTATTTTTTGAGACAGAATTTAGCTCTTGTTGCCCAGGCTGGTGTGCAATGGCGCCATCTCGGCTCACTGCAACCACCACCTCTTGGGTTCAAGCGATTCTTCTGCCTCAGCCCCTTGCGTAACTGGGATTACAGACATGCACCACCAAGCCTGGCTAATTTTGCATTTTTAGTAGGATGGAGTTTCTCCGTGTTGGTCAGGCTGGTCTCGAACTCCCGACCTCAGGTGATCTGCCCGCCTCACCCTCCCAAAGTGATGGGATTACAGGAGTGAGCAACCGTGCCAGGTAGTTTTTAACTTCTAAAAATATCTCACTGTCCTCCAATGAGATTGTAAACTCTTTGAAGTCCTCGACTATTCTTTTTTATCCTTGTATTCCCATTGGTGATGACGGAAAAACCAGCATGAATGAAAGATCAGGCACCTATTAAGTGTCAGCATGGAATTTGAAATGTCTGTTGCCGAAGATTCAAAGAGAGCTCTTTCTCTGCTTAGTTGGTGGCTGTATGTGGCGAAAGGCTAAGGATAAGACTTTACTGAAATGATCTACTCAGCAGTTTAGCCGCACCCTGGCCCACCTACGTGCCTGCACTTGGAGGCATCCCTAACACATGGTTGAGTTTATTTTGCTCCTCTAAGGCGTTGATATGAGAGCCAGAGAAACATGAGAAAACGGTTTCAGTGAGCAGCATCACATCAAGTGGAGAAGGGCCCAAAGGGGGTCACCAACTCGCATAATTCTTCCCCTCATAGGAAAGCCGTCGGCACAGCTCAAAAGCCTTTCCTTACCTTACAGCCTCCCCTCTTTTACTAGGCCCACCTGGGCTGGATGTTTTTCTCTAAGTTTTCTAACAACAAGGGCATCTAAAGTGAGAAAGAGGAAGAGAAAGTCACAGAAAGGGGCGAGATGCAGGGCTGAGCCCGGCTGGCTTCAGCTAAGCATTCAAGATGGTCTCGGGGACTCAGGGACCGCAGCTCGTCTCCATCTCTTTCGTTTCTTTCTCTGCTGTTTTCTCTGGGTCCGCGTGGACTAATTTATCACTGAAACGCAGCCTAAGAACAGAAGGGAGAGTTTCTTTCCTCAGTGTCTGAAAGGGAAAAACTTTAAGGAAACAGCCAAGAGAGGGAAAGGAGGCTACGGCTCCAGTGCGAGGGAGCGGAGGAGGGAGTCCGGCGCGCTGGCTGCGAATAGGAGCTACCTGGGCCGAACCCCCGGACCCCTCGCGGGCGCGAACCCAGACGCAGCGGAGCCCAAGCGCAGCTCGGTCTTGGGTCACGCGAGGCCTAGCCCCAGAAGCACGCGGCCGCGCCCCAGAGGCGACGCAGTCCCTGGAACCCGGCTCTCCCGGCGGGTGGCCCAAGTTCGGCCTCTCCGCCTCAGGGAGCGGCGGAGACTGAGGATACCCCTCGGCGCCGCCCGCCCGCCCCCGGAGCCGCATCTGAGGAGCCCCGCGCCCATTGGCGGCGGTGGCTCGGCATCCCCGCCCCCTCCGCGTCCCCGCCCCCTCCGCTGCCGCCGCCGCTTCCCGGCTCCGCCTCCTCCCCCTTTGGGAGCCGCCTCCGTCGCCACCACTGCTGCCGCCGGCCGGGGCCCAGCCAGCGCCCGCCGCGCCGGAGCCGAGTCGCAGCCGGAGCCGCTGCTCGCGGCCCCGCCATGAGCGGAAGCGCCGCCGCCGCGGTTGCTGCCGCCGCCGCCTCAGCAGCCGCCGCCGCCGCGCACTTCCAGCCTCAGTCGTCGTCTCCCAGGCCGGGCCCCGCCGAGCTCGGGCCCCCGCGCCGCCCGCGCCCCCCACCGCCGCCGCCCCGGACAGAGCCCGCCGCCACGGACCGCCTCAGCCCTCTGGGCCACGGGCCTCTCCGGGCGGGCGTTCAGGGTGGCGGCGCCTGCGCCCGAGCGCCAGGAACAGGTACGGGGTCCCGGAGCGGGCCAGGCGGGGAGGGGCGTGGGTTTGTCCGGCGGGTGGGGGCCGGAGGCTTGCGGTCCAGCCGGCCGGCCCCGTCGAGGGGGAGGAGCGTTGTCCGGGTCAGCTTTGTCCGGCCCCGGAGCCCCTGCGAGCCCTGCTCCTCTGCCTCGCTGAGCGGCTCACAAAGCGTTTTCCCACAGGGTGGGTAGCCCCCTCCCCCAGGGTGTTCAGGGCAGGATCTCTCTAGGTCTCTGTTCTGAGGAGGAAACCGAGGCTTAGAGGGGGAAGTGACTTGCCCAAGGTCACATAGCTGGTGAGAGTCGTAGCCTGGCTGGGACCCAGGGCCACCCTGGGCCGGCGCGGGCCCCGAGCAGAGGGGGTTGGGAGGAGGCCGATTCCGCGGCACCCGGGAGCCCAGGGAGATTGATCTGGGGGGAGGGGGTCAGGCCCTGGACCCTGGCACACCCACTCAGCCCTTTTTGGGCTAGCTTGGGAGTAATGGTCTCTTGGGGTGGGACGGAAGAGCAGGGGGCCGGCTTGGAAGCTTGGTGGTGCCCTGGGGAGCCGCAGCCGGAGAGACTTATGTGCGGGGTGTGCTCTCGGGGAGAGGGCTTTCTTGAGTGAGTAGGACAGAGCTTCGGAAACTTCTTATCGTGGGGACTGTTTGGTCTCTGCCAGGCCACCTTCCCCACCACTGCACGGACTAAACCAATTCAGCTGGAATTACTGGGAGGGAGGCCTGCCCGCTTTTGTGGAGGCGCCTGTAAGGTGCCTTTTTTCAGTAAATGGCCCGAATTTCGTTCATGCCGAATACAGAAATGCATACATGGCCCTGGTAAAGACATTTACGGCGCAGAAGGCCATGTGAGTTTTTTCCAGGTGGTTTGGACCTACCACACTTGGAGAACTCCCAGAGAAAGAACAGCTATCCCAGGCGTGAAGGGGGAAGGAAGCTGGGAGGATTGGGACCGAGTCACCCGCCTGCCTGGCATGTCATACATGGGATTTCCGTTTTTATTTGGGGTGGATGATGAGGTGGGTTGTTTTGATTGTGGATATCTCTTGGAAAGGCAAGGGGAAAGGACTTGTAGTTCTAGGGGCGAGGGAGAGAGCGAGCATCGTGTTACAGTCAGGGAAGAGGGTCCCGTGGAGCTAGAAAATGGAATGGGGAAAAAGGAGAGGGTATTCAGTCATTGTGGGGGAAGGGAGATGAAAGGGTTGCTGAAGGGCGGGGGACGGTGACTAGTCTAGAGAAAAATATTGGGATGTTTCAAAGAAGATGCCAAACGTGAAGAGTTTGATAGGAGTCTGTTGGAGGTGGATGGTAGCTTACAAGGTCTGCAGTCGCTTCTTTTCTTTGAGTAAGGACAGCTATACTTTTATAGAAACGTTCTAGCTTGAGCACCCCCTCCCCCTCATTCTCGCTCCTGTTCTAAGGATTCAGGCCCCCAGTGCCTGCAGTATTGTCTTGGAAGTAAGGCTTGACAAAAGAGGGAAGGGAAAGACTAATTAGCAAATGCATTAATTAAGGCCCTTTGTCCAAGATGATTCCTTGTTTAAGTCAGCTGTTTTCTTGCTGCCCTTCTGCACCTTAGCTTTCCAGCTGTGGTGGCTGTTGGCAGGGTGCTTTGGGAAGGACTGCCTCAATTCAGACAAGATGGGTTAGATTTTTCTAAAAAACTCTAAGAAACACATATTTGACAAATAATGCTTAAAAGCAAGAAAATGTACTTTGAGAGACTTACAATCAGGAAAATGCAAATTGAAACAGTGAGATGCCATTTCATATCGGTCAGGTTGGCAAAAATGTAATGCTGTGATAAATCGAGTATTATTAAGGTTATGGAGAAATAAACTTTTATGCACTTTAGTGGAAATGTAAATGGATCCAACCACCGTAGAGAGTAGTGGTATTTAGTGTTTAGTATGAAGATGGGCAGACATACTCATTTACCTAAAATGTCCATTTCTGGGTATATACCCTAAGAAATCCTTGCACACTTGTCCAAGAAAGTAGGTATGGGAAAAAAATACAACAATGCTCATTCCAGCTTAAATGTCCATCAACGGGAAAATACATGCATTTTTAGATAGACCCACACAACTGAACATTAATTACAGCACTATGAAAAATAAACCGCAGCCACATGCATTAAAATAGGTGAATCTCAAAAACATAATATGGAGTTGGGAAGCAAGTCAGAAGAATTCTTACAGAATCTTTCCACTTGTGTAAAATCTGAAAACATGCAAAATAATATTGTTTGTGGCTATGCCTGTATGTGGTGATAATATAAAAATACGAATATTAAGAGTAGTGATTGTCTTTGGGATGAGAAGATGAGGAATGGGATTAGACAAGGGTACACAAAGGGCTTTATACCGTTCATATTCTATTACTTAAAAAAAAATCTCAATCAGGTAATTGTAAATTAAGATTTGGTAATGTTGGGTTTAGGATACAGAGATATTTAGTATATTCTAAATATTTTTCAGGTGTTGGAAGTATTTCTCATACAAAAAATTTTGTTTATAGAACACAGTTTTTGTCACATAACAATGGACCTCTCCTACAGGCTCCAGCTCAGCACAGCCTGTTAGACATGCAGGCTGGTGATCCTCTCTCATCCCTTTCTGACCTGCTAAACCTAGTTTTGCAATGGGTGACTTTTATTTTGGAACTGCTGGTAGGTGCGGAAGATTTCTCATTATTTCTAAACTTTCTAGTGGACCTGCGTCAGCAGTTTGAGCTTTGTCAAAATAGATGTGCTCCAGGACCTTCTGATTTATTAAGGTAGGGAGGGATCCAGACATCTGATACTGAGAAAGCTCCCCAATAGGTTCTTATGTCCACTGAAGGTTGAGAACCACTATCTTAGCTTTGCCCCAGCCTAGGCCTCAGCTCTTCCTTAGACTGCCCCTCTGTTCCCACTCCTGGATGACTGGGATGGAATTTTTTTTTTTTTTTTTTGTAAGCAACATGGCTGTTTATTCATCTGGGTGCAGGTGGGCGAAGGCCGAAAAGGGCGTTAGCCCTGGGATGGAATTTTGACCCGTGTGATACTTTCCCTCTTTTGTGGAGCATATGCCATACCACTCTTAATCTAGGTTGTCCATTCCTATGATTTTCATGGAATTAGCTAAGGGGCCCACCACCTACCGGGGTTATTTATCAGGTTTTACAGATTGTAAGTACATGTGTCAACTATATGTGGGTTTTTCTTTCTTTCTTTTTCTTTTTTTTTTTTTTTTTTTTTTTAGAGACAGGGTTTCACTGTCTTGGCCAGGCTGGTCTTGAACTCCTGACCTCATGATCCACCCACCTCGGCCTCCCAAAGTGCTGGGATTACAGGCATGAGCCACCGCACCCCGCCTGTATATGGTTTTAAAGTTAGGATAAGGGCAAAAGGGGTCTAGCAGAGAAGGAAAATTTGGAGAAAGTACAACTCCCAAACGTAAACGTGATCATGTCTTTCTTTTTTGTTTTAAGATGGAGTCTCACTCTTGTTGCCTAGAGTGGTACGATCTCAGCTCACTGCAACCTCTGCCTCCTGGGTTCAAGCGAATCTCCTGCCTCAGTCTCTTGAGTAGTTGGGATTACAGGCATCTACCATCATGCCCGGCTAATTTTGTATTTTTAGTAAAGATGAGGTTTTAACCATGTTGGTCAGGCTGGTCTCAAACTCCTGATGTCACATGATCCACCCACCTCAGCCTCCCTGAGTGCTGAGATTATAGACGTGAGCCACCATGCCCAGCCTGATTATGTCTTTCATACAAGAAAGATGGTCCATCCTTCTGTAGATGCTAGTGGTTGTTTTAGCTTATGACCAACATTTGAGGTTCAGCTATCTGAACCTATGGTTAAAGATTAAGGTCTTTAGCAAACAACTGATTATCCATCAAGATGGAAGAGTGTCCTTTCTCCCAAATTTGCTTGTTTTCCTTCTCTGCTAGATCTTTTTTCCTGTAGTCCTGATGTGTTTATGAATGAATTTATATTAACAAATCTGAGGCTTTCTGAGAGTGAAAGTGCCTGTTTGTCTTTGTGAAGTGCCTGTTTGTCTTTGTTAAGGTTCCTCTTTTTGGAGACCCACTTTGAAGGTGCAGCATTGCCCAGGTACACTTTTTAACAGTGCTGCTGTGTAGGACCGTAGAGATTGCACCCAGCACAGGGATACCTGTTTCAGGTGGCAAGTGAGGGTAGGAATCTATTCTGTGCTCCACTTACCAAGATGAGTACCTCATGTGGAACTGTGTGCCCTCAGAGAAGGGGCACCTTTTCTAATCCATACAAAGGTGCTGTGTGATCTAGCACTGCTTTGCAGCTTTGCAGCTGTTAGCCCAGCTGTAACTAATAGTTTTATACATACACATTGTGGGCTTTGCCATGAGGACTAGGTTGGTGCTGGCCCTAGGGGCTCCACGTGAACTTTTCATGGAAAAGGACTTTTCATCACCGCTCAGCTGAACCAAAGAGCGCAGCTTAAAATGGTAAACTTCGCTATGAGGCTGGAGAAATAAAGTACAGAATAAGCTATTTGGAAAATAAACATTGTTGGCTGAGGGCAGTGGCTCATGCCTATAATTCCAGCACCTTGGGAGGCCGAGGCTGTTGGATTACTTGAGGTCAAGAGTTAAAGATCAGCCTGGCCAACATGGTGCAACCCCATCTCTACTAATAATACAAAAATTAGCTGGGCATGGTGGCTTGCGCCTGTAATACCAGCTACTTGGGAGGCTGAGGCAGGGGAATTGCTTGAACCCAGGAGATAGAGGTTGCAGTGAACTGAGATGTGCCACTGCACTACAGCCTAGGGGACAGATTGACACTCTGTCTCAAAAAAAAAAAAAGACAAAAGTATCTGGTAAATGAAGGAGAGAAAGTATAGTAGCTATATGTCACATTTGCTCTCGTTTTCTTTTTTTTTTTTTTTTTTTTTTTAGAAGGAGTTTCGCTCTTGTTACCCAGGCTGGAGTGCAATGGCGTGATCTCGGCTCAC